GTGAAAACGCCCTTAGAGTCTGACCAGGTATTGTTTTATTTGCTGCACAGTGTTCAGCCATCAGACGTTGTCTGAAATGTTGGGCTCTGACAGAGTTAAAACATAACTATGACTCAATTCCACAAGCTGTTCCTGTTTCCTCACTGCGCCTGCATGAAGCAGCAAACAGAGCATCTGACAGAAAATATGGAGGCCAGTTAAGTTTTTGTTTCCTCCTCCTATAATGACTCAAGTGAACGAGAGGAAGTCCAGATACTCCAGGTGTTTCTTTTTATAGAAGTTTCGACAGTCGGCACAGGATGGAACTAGCAAACAAATTCCAACAAATCATTGTCAATAACCAGAATAATAGTCCGTTGTATTTTCTATTTTAAACAGTATGCCTTTTTACATCACGTAGGATTCAGTATTACAGCAGGAGTTATACATTTCTAGCATTGTTAAGTATGAGCTCAGCTTCAGCTATCGAACTCTGGATCGTACAGCAGTATAGGGCCGTCTACTATGAACTAACAAACGTACTTGTATTGGCTGGATTGTTTCTTGTCATAAAAAGGAAGAAACAGATTCTTGTTACATCTGAGAGATGTACAGAGGTTGAAGTGATCAGATGTTTGCCCTTCAGTGCTCCTCGTGGTAGACTTTGCTGGTCCTGGTGGACCATGTTCACCCATGTGGATCTTGTTGGTCCAGATGGACCTACCGTAAAGTCTCTGGATGCCCCAGACGTCGTCCTGTGCGATGTTCCTCTGCCCTGTGTACGTGGCGTTGGGATGCATCAGAGCCTGAGGGTCTCTGGAGTGCCACAGACCGAGAGCGTGACCGATCTCATGAGCCGCCACCTGGACCAGGTCATTGAGCCACACCCCTGCAGGTCACATGACACACCTGTATCAAATACTGCTATCAATACCATCAGTACTATCAATTCTGCCACTACTACTTTTACTGCAGGACCTTGTTTCCAGCTGAACCTGGACTTGCCGAGGATCCAGAATTCATGGTTGTCAAAGTGGATTTCTCCACGCGGTGGCAGGAAGGCGTGAGCCAGCTCGCCGTTCAGCCCGTCGAAACACGGGTGAAGAGGAGACCACCAGCAGTCAGTGTGGTTGAAGGTGTAGAAACCTAACACACCCACACACACACATTAACTTTAAATTGACTTCTTTTATATGGTATATGGTTTAAACTCCACCTACCGATGGTGATGTCAGTGGTGGTGTTGCCATCCGTAACCTCGGTGAAGGTTAGCGGAGACACATCGCTCCACTTAGTGAAGGCTATACTGATGGCCTTCCTCGTGTCCTCGACATTCAGAGTGTTTGGAAACTTTATGATCCTGAGACGGACAAACAGACAGACAGACAGACAGTAATCAGTGGGTTTTGGTGCCCTGAGTGCAGCCCCCCAGGCTCAGGCGTCTGATTGGCAGCCTGTGGAGCTCAGCAGCAGACATCCTGTGAGGAACAGTTCAGGGTAAAAACACCCTTGGGCCAATCAGAGATCATTCAGCACAATCAGCTCAATCAGCTCAGTCTCTGCTGATAACGAGTATTAGCCGACAACACGTTCATTTAAAGGACCAGAGTAGATTCAGCACCATCTACTGGTTCCCAACCTGAGAGTCGGGACCCCCACTAGGGGTCGCGAAAGTTTCACAGGGGGGTCACGAGGCCTTCTTGTTTTTACGGGGTTTAAGAAAACAGTATCTGGTTCAATTCTGTGAAGAAAAAAATAAATAAAGTAAACTGTCTAATAGAACAATGTCCAAGCTTAAGGAATGAGAAAATACTGAATCTGTCAGAAAAGAAGAATATTAAGTAATATTTATTAGAAAGATATTCACAGAATTGAGCTTTAGATCAATGTCTCTGATCTCCAGAGTAAAACAACTGTTTATAAAATAAAATCTGATACATTTAGTATTTATTAGAAAACAGATATTGACACATTTTACTCAGATTTTACTTATAAAAAGTAAATTTTCACTAGTTTCAACCGAACACTCAACAGTTTAATTATTAGCTCGCTCACTGCTTGCACACATTCATAACTCAGTAATAATAAAAATTAAAGCTGAAAGCCCTCGCAGTGCTGAGTTTGCAGAAAAATAATTATTTCTAACATTTAACAGCAGAAAAAAAAATATTATTTACATTTAACAAGGCTTTGCAGCGGTCACTCATTTTACCTCATTAGTACTTTTGATACTTTAAGTACATGTTGTTACTAGTACTTTTACTGCAGTAATAGTCACTGTACTGCAGTAATAGTCACTGTAGTGGAGTAATTCAATTCTATTCAATTAAATTTTATTTGTATAGCGCTAATTCATAACA